CTCTATTGCTTTTATTTTAAGGATTGTGTTGCATAATATTTCGTTTCATTTAAGGATGTTAGCTGAGCCTAAAGTATGTGTAGGGCCAGCTGGAGTTCCTGTGCCAAATAACCCTGCACCAACCAAGGAACAGAGCAGTGGCACACGAAAAGCACAAGTTGTGAAAATTCTGGGAGAAGGTTAGTATACTAGTATTTCCTTACCATTCCTGTGAATTTGTTACAGCTATTTTCCTTGTCTTTGGTCCAACGAAGCAATATAAATTTTGTTTAGGAGCGTTTGGCGAAGTCAAACTGGTGGTTGATCCGCGGAATCCGATGTGTTGTGTGGCTTTGAAATGCATAGATTTGAGGAAGTTTCAAAACAATAGTGAAGCTTCTGAATCAGTTCAAGAAAGAGGTAGCTTAAGCTTCTGTCACATTCTAGGTCTTTTTTTTTCTTCCTCATCCCTTGCTAGTTAATAGTGGTATCCGGGTCACTCTTAATGTAATGACTCACTCCCAGTTACAGAAGAGGAGCTTGCAAGTTTTGGGATGTATATTTATTTCCGGAAAGTTGTGTCCGGCCAGACATTTTTAATTTTGCGAGTGAGCAGTGTGCTCACTGGATGTGCTGAGAATGAACGGGAGGAGAGAGGGATTGGCTAATGTCGAAGTTGCAGTGATTGCACAGTGTGACTTGGATCAACGATCTAGCGCTTGACGTGCTCAGACTTCATGAGCCCCTTCTTGAGTCCTGCTATGGGTTTTTGAATCTTGGTACATATTTTATACCCCCTTCTGAATTTGTTATGGCCTTTGTTTGACTGTGGATTTCTAGTTTACTGTCAGATTTGGGTTTTTTCCAGTTAGGTGAGGGGAGGGTGCATCATGATGCAGTTTCTTAGCGAACTATTCTAAACTCGAACATTCCCGCTTTTCATGCATTTCAAGTTACTTGCCTCACCCTTCACCTCCCTAGACTGCCTGCATTCCCCCCCCCCTCTGGAAAAACTGCATCACGATGGCCCCTAACTGGACTAGACCCTCAGATTTTATCTGAAATGTACTAACCTAAGACATTTTCAGGCTTACTTACAACGATTGCTCTCGACTAAGGAATGCGATAATATGATTCGTTACATTGGGATGCGTGTAGAGACTGAAGGTGGCCTGAATGAGCTTCAAATTTATTTGGAATATGCAGACGGTGGAGAGCTTTTCGATCAAATTGGTGAGCTTCTTCGATGTTCAGATAACTGTTTTGTATAGCTGGTCATGCTTACTAATGCTTTTTTCACTTTTTCTTCTTTCTTCTTTTTCTTTCTCTGTCAGTACGCTTCGTAATCACCTTTGCTTTACGAATCGTAGTGATTAATTTTTGAAATCTTACTCTTTTTTATGTTCTATTTTTTCATTCTTTCGCGAGAAGTGCTAATCGGTATTATACAGTGCGTATCATAAGTATAGACGCACCCCTTAAAGTACCACAGCTGACTTTCATAGAAGTTCCCACAAAACGAGCTCATCACCATCTGAATCAGCATGCACGAAAACAAATAATTGTTGCAAGTTTGCAGCAGCTTTGTATGATAGAAACACTATGCAAAAACAAACTATGGAACGAATGAAATGACAAATTACTACTAATAAAAGAGTAGCAAAGGAAATGAAAAAGAAAAGCGTCCAATAAAAGTTCATGAGCAACTAGAAGACATTTTCAAACAGAAATTTGCAAAACCAAGTTGAACAAGTTCAAACAGAAACGCGAACGACAAATCTGATCACATTTTTATGGCTCTTTCTTGGTCATGAAGCGGGAAAATTTCGCTGCAGACTGATAAAACGCGGGGAACGCCAACCGCAAGCTGTTATCAGCCCTTGCTGTGTTCCGGGTGGCAGCAGTCGTAAACACACGAGGCACCATGGGTTTGAACTTTCGCGCGGGGAAAGCTGGTTCAAATTTGGTCCGCAATTAAGGACACCCTACACGGTAATCCACGCAACATTACACGTTGTACCACATACACCACGTTTGCTTTCATACGTTTCACTTCTTTTTACCTTCACAACGTGCACGCTCACACTTTATCTTTCTTTGGAAATTATAGTGGTGTTTTTAGAGAGAGATCGTCTATAGCAGTCGTTACTGGAACAGCTCCTGGCTCCTCTTCGAAAGACGTTGCACGAAATTGTGTCCTACGGAAGGTGAGCGTCTACTTATTGTTGGTTCTAGCATTTTTCATCGAAGAACCAATGCACGTTTGAAACGAGGATCCGTGTAAGGGAGCGGGGGGCATTGCATCCAAAGCATTCAGCATCCCCGACAAACATTACTTCTTGATAGCTCATACTCCCTTGCAAAAACGCGTAAAACATACAAGCTCGACGAAATGAGGAGTGAGGCCCTAACAGTTCGTACATAACTCGAAAGGCTCTTTCAGCGAAATTTGGATAAGTACAATTTGCACGAACGTTCGCCACACGTTATGGCTGAGTGTGTAAGGAATGAAAGGACTCGTACCATGAAAGGACTACGTTAAAGCATACCTCCAGGTTTTACCCTGATCAATATTTCTCAATCGGTAGAGGCTTTGCCTAAGGCTCACCGTCTACATTTACTGCCAGTTTCACCATTGATGGCTAACTCTTTTAAAGTCAGTGTTCCAAGAGAGAGAAGCCTTTCACAGTCTTCATTCACCGGAAGGGAAGCTGAAATATGATAGTTCATGGTTCTGAAATGGTAGTGCGGTGTTTTCCAATTGTGAGGCTATAGCGAAATTTAAAAGTTTAGCTAACTTCGCTTCAACATATTTGTATCTGGGGATCAGCACGTCTTTCCAGTTAAATAAGTCACTTACTTTTAAGTTACCTTTGTATCAGAACATTTAAAGTCCAAAACGTAGCTATGATTACACGTGAGCATTGAAGCAAATGAAAGCGAATCTAGTGCATGCTTAGGTTAGCTGTAGAATACTTGAGTGTCGCCTCTTTGCAGATGTGATGCTGTTCTCTTTGTTTTGTTAAATCTTAAGCCTTTCAAAATGCCTTCCGTCGAAAAGCTAGTAGACGGCACCACTCTATTGCACAACCATGACTCCCCAGTCGTCCGTACTTGAATGGATCCATACATTCTGTTCACTTAATTTATTTATTCATTATTTTTTGTTTCAGTACTTTGCGCGGATGTACAAGACTAGGAATCTCAGTTGGGCCTGTGTAGGTACGTTTTTCTGATTTGGGTGGGGCCTTTAACGTTTCTTTGTTTGTGTAGCAGTGTGCATAGAATATGATAATGGCTGGCGTCAGAGTCCGTGATCTTCGTCGCGCAATCGCGCTGACGGACCACAGAAATCACAAGTGCCCGATCAATACTGCGAGGTGCTCTCTCATCCGCTGCCATTTCTGCTTGATGGTGATGGTGAATGATGACTGTTTATGATTCTACTTGTTTCATATGCAGTGTTTCAAAGTTCAATGTGTTCAAGTTGGGCAACTACAATTTTTGACACGACGATCGCGGCTCTGACACAGAATTATCTGAGGCTCAAATGGTTTGCGGACTACTTGATTTTTCCTTAATGGTCCTGCCGCGATGGTTAGAGCACAAACGATCAGGGAACGGGTGAATGCCCTAAGAATAAGCCTTGGAGAGGAGAGGGACCTGCGAGCGACGAAGAGGTGTTTAACCCTTTCGGCCCTGGCGGTGGCAATTGCCACCACCAAATTCAAACGCTTGCATTGCCGCTGAAACAGCATGGTTTTTCTAATCCTGCTAGAGGTTGCTTCAGTCAACCTTCCCCTTCCTAATTATGAGCTAAACCTGCCATTTCATTGTGTGTTGCTGTTAGTATTACAAGTATTTGTGTACAAGTGCAACAATGAATCGGCGCTGACCCCCGCAACCGGCCAAGTAAGTGTGACTTTTTCTTAAAATACTTGAAGTAGATCCATTCCTAAATCAAAATTATGGGTTATAATGTTATGCAAGATTATAAACTTTTTCGGCATAACTATGAAATTTCGAATTGTTTCGACATAAGCTTAAAAACTAAGAAGGTGGGCCAATTTTCAAAGCTTCTTAGTTTCTTTGTTTGTGATCGAATAGCTTCCAAATTTCGCCATAATGATACCTATATGCTCACAAGTAATAAACAATAGCTAGAAGAAAAATTTCTCCACGGGGAAAAATTCAGGTCCGAAAGGGTTAAAATACTGATTCAAGAACGCGTCGAACAGGGCGAAAATCACTTGCTCATAGATTTGCCCTGCGTTTGAGTGTATAGAACCATAGTCTCTGAGAACGTTTCTTTTGTCTTGTATTGGAGATTCTGTTTGACCTTAGATTGGATTTCATTAATGCTCATGTTGGTAATTTGGTGCAGTATCTGATTTTTGAAATAATTCCCACACTGTGTTTGGCTGGAGTCGTCCACACAGCATTTAAATGACTTTGTTGAAATTTCAATTTTCAGCGCGATGACCGACTTATGCGAACAGCCGCTCGGGTCTTGTTTCTAAGCTACGAGGTGGTTCGCGCGAATTTGGTTCCTCTGCTCCGAATCACTGCCCAGGAATAAAGGACTTAGTCGTCGCGCTACTTCTGCTGGTCGTTCCGCCTTAGAATTCGGTATGCGTTCGATGAGTCTACTGCAGAAGCATGGCTGTCAGCGAGTTATTCCGCTTCGGCTCAACTCACCCTCCGCCATCCCGTGGCATCCCAATGTGACGCGTCGTGTGTATTTACTTCGTAGTTCTTTGGACATTGCTCGATTGCTGGCTGAGCATGTACGCGCGTCCCCTGATAAGCAAATCGCCTGCCATCTGGGTGGATCGACGTTTGGTCGTTTGTGAACGTGAACTTGAACGACAAGGTGTTTACGGTCAAATCGAGTCGTTTGAGCTAAGTATCTCGTTCATCTCTCTGGAAAATGATCTTTTCTCGATGGAAATGCCTATTACCACGGCCCACAAGGATTTGCTAGCATCGGC